CCAGGTAACGTCTTGCCTAGCAGAGGCCACTGCAGACCTGTGGGGGCGTGGCAGGAGATTGCCAGATTAGGAGGAAAATAACCAGAAAAAGGTCTAGTTTGAGAATCACCTGACATCCAGGGTTCTCCGGGAACATGAGTGAAGATTAAGGTTTTAAGTTAAATGCTGACTTACGGGATGTTCCCGAGCTATTAGTCCGTCAGAGAGAAGCAGCTCTTTTTCAATATTGGCCCATCTAAAGGTGTCCCTAGATGTGTGTGTGTGTGTGCGTGTGTGTGTGCGTGTGTGTATGTGTGTGTGTGCGTGTGTGTATGTGTGTGTGTGCGTGTGTGTGTGTGCGTGTGTGTGTGCGTGTGTATGTGTGCATGTGTGTGTGCGTGTGTTTCTATGTATAGATCACATGTACATGTTTTGTGTGGGTATACATGTGTGTGCATGCATGTTCATATAGAGAACAGAAGACCACCTTCATTGTTGTTTCTCTAGGGCTATCCATCTCGTGTTTTTTTTGAAAGAGGATCTCTGGCTAGCTCAGAGCTCACTGATTTAGCTAGGCTAGCTGGTCAGCAAAAATAATCTGTCTCTACTCCCAGTGCTGGGATTGCAACCATGAGTGTATGTGTGTGTGCGTGTGTGTGTGTGTGTATGTGTATGTGTGTGTGTATGTGTGTGTGTGCGTGTGTGTGTATGTGTGCGTGTGTGTGTGTGTATGTGTATGTGTGTGTGTGTGGGTATGTCTGTGTGTGTGTGTATGTGTGTGTGTGTACTTGCACATGCGTGCCAACAGCCTGGCCAGCAAAGAGCAATTCCACCCTGAGCATCCACACTGTCAATAGCCATCAGACCGGCCAGCAGGGCACCTTGGTGCCATTTGCTTGTGTCCTGACGTGGTCACTTCTGCACACACACCAGGGAGCACAGATGCTTCATGAGCAGAGTCCACAGCCATGTTGGAAGGCTCCCACTCATCTCCGTCTGACACTTCTTAGGGTGCTAGAAGCAACCTCAGCTCCTCACACACTTCTGAATCCCTTGCGGGTAAAGAAAGCTCACAAGCACTGCTAAACTTCCAGACACCAAACAGCAAAGGCTGCTGTGGCTGTGGGGGTATTTGCTTCAGTTTCAGCATTAAGGTAAAGAGAGTCCTGAAACGCTGCACAGCAAACCCTCAGAGGAACTTACACCACAGGTGGATCTCCAGTGGCCTCGCTAACATTCCAGTCCTGCTCCGAAGGCAGAGACGGGGCAGCATTTAAGGATCTGGGCTAATGGACAGGCTTGCAGTCAGCCACTGGCTCTCCCTGTCTGGCTCCAGGAGCAGCTGGGAAGTGTGAAGAGGAGGCGACCTCTGGAAGATGCCCTGCACTCACCACCGAGCCTGCCAGACACTGGCAAAAGCGACAGCCCTGTTAATACTGTTGCTGTCGCTGAAATATTGGACGCTGCTGGGTGCATACAGAAATCTCTACTTGGTCAAACATACTTCATGTTTCGTGGCATCTAGGTTATTTTGTTTTTGAATAATATGTGTAATTAAAATCAATGTTGTCAGTGACTTAAACTGGATAATTTAATAGTAAAGTCTGAGACTAAAAAAACACTGCACTCCACTTAGACTGTGTTTAAAGCATCTTTCTACTTTAGATTACATTTCCCTTGGAGCTGTGCCTCTTACCCAGGCGCAGTTCCAGTCAGCACCGTAACATTTGCCGTCCTGCACCACATCGGGCACAGGCTTTGCCCCACCCTAACATCCCTCTTTCGAACATGACACAGTTTCAACTGGCGGCCGCTTTCTCATTTGAGGTCAGTTCAAATGGGTTCACGGTGACACACCCCGTAGGGACAGAGGCTGGGGCTCTAGAGGCAGGGAGAGCAAAGGGAGCCCTGTGACAGCGACTTCCTGACCACTCCCTGTTCCCAGCCCTTGCTTCAAGGTGGTTCACTACCGGCTTGACCAGGTGTCCAGTCCTCAACCAGACCTCCAACTGAGCCAGTCTGTGGGACTGCTCAGACTTTCTTTGGAGTTCTGATGGGGGACCCAGAGATTGGAATTGTGGTCATGGTGGAGTCCTGATCCTGGGTCACCTCTACATCTCTCACACACCTCTGAAGCACACCAGCAGCCAGCTCTTTCCTTTCTCTTTTTTGTTTTTTGAGACAGGGTCTCCCTGTAGCCCCAGCTGGCCTGAAACTGGCTATGCAGACCAGGTTGGCCTTGATTTTACAGAGCTCTGCCTGCCTCTGCCTCCCGAGTGCTGGGACTTATGGTGTGCATCAGCATGCCTGGCTTAGCTCTCTCCTTTCAAATAAATTTTCATCTTCATAAGCCGAGCCTTTGAGGGGGTTTGTTCCCTCCAGGCACCTTCCTGGTGGCCCAGGGCACCTTCCTGGTGGCCCAGGGCAGGCAAACGTTCCTCTTTAACAACCACAGCCTCATTTTCAGCACAGGCCTTGGCTAAAAATTTAACCTGAGCAAGCTCTTTTCCAACTGGACAAATTGCACATTTTTACTGTCTTTCTGCCCAGCAGTTCCCTCTTTATTACTGTAGACCTAGACAGGCTCAGGAGACAGCAGTCAAGTCACAGCTGAATCTTCCCTGTCTTTGAATTTCCTCCACCAAAATTCCATTACCTTTAAATTCAACTCTTCTCATGGGACATAAACAGAATGAATCCTAATTCTTTGCCAGGATATCACACAAATGACCCCTGCCCAGTTCCCGAAACTTCATGAGTTGGGGCTCCACTGTCCATACATCCCTCAGCATTCTGGTACTTTAAGCTCCCATCAGGAAGGCCCACTAAGCTCTGCTTCCAGCCTGATAGTGCCTTTCTAGCCCAAAGCTCCAAACTCCTCCACATGTTTTGCAGCGACAAAACAGTTGCAAAGGCCTAAAAGCCAGGAAGTAAGATTTACCACAGCAACAACCCCACTCCTGATACCAATTTTCTGCCTCAGTTTCTTTTCACACTGCTGTGTGTTCTAGTTTGCTTTCAATTGCTGTGACAAAACACTCTGACCACTACCAACTTGGGGAGGAAAGGGTTTATTCAGCTTACCATGGAGGAAAGGGTTTATTTGGCTTGTCAGCAAGTCCATCATCAAGGGGAACCAAAACGGGCTCAGGGAAGGAACTGGGAACACAGACCATGGAGTGGTGCTGCTTACTGGCTTTCTCTCTTGACCTGTACTTATCCTGCTTCTTAGACAACACAGGATAACCTGCCCATGGTGGCACCACCCACAGAGGGCTGGGCCCTCCCACATCACTCAACAATCAAAAAAGTGCCCCGTGGACATGGCCACAGGCCAGTCCAATGGAGGCAATTCCCCAACTGAGGCTCCCTCAAACCCAGGCATGTCAAGTTGACATTAAAGCTATCCAGCACACTATGATAACACATCCTTTTTAAAAAAGCAAATTATGGGAGAGAGGGTTTCATTTGGCTCACAGGTTAAGGGTTCATCATGGTGAGGGAGCCTTGGGAGCCCTGGAGCTTGAAGGCAGTTGGCCACATTGTGTCAAAGACATCAGAAAGCAGAGGGAAAGAGATGCTTGTGCTCAGCTCATTTTCTCCTTTTTTAAAAACATTTTTAAAAATTTTTATGTGTATGAGCATATTGCCTGCATGTTTGTAAGTGCACCCATGTGGTGCAATGCCTGTGGATGTGAGAAGAGCGTGTCGGATCCTCTGGAACTGCAGTTAGAATAGTGATTAGCCATCATATGGGTGGTGGGATTTGAACCTGGGTTTTCTGCAAAATCAGCCAGTGATCTTAACCACTGAGCCGTCTCTCCAGACCCATTTTCTCCTTTTTATACAGTCCAGGAACAGCAGCTCAGGCAATGGCACTATCCTCTTTTAGTGTGAGCCTTCTCCCTTCAGTTAGCCTGGTAAAGACAATCCCTTATGGTGTGCCTGGAGGCTTCTCTCCTAGGTGATTCTGGATCCTACCACGTTGACAATCAACAATAACCATCATAGTCTATAAGAACAAAAAACCCTTAAACCTTCATAGTGAGGTCAAGTGATTGAAGCCAGTCTGCAGTTGGACCTGATGTCCGAGACACCCAATAGAGACCCTGCAGGATGATTCCTGGCTAGTCCTGCTGGGGAAGGTAGCTACAAATGGGGCTGATGGGGAAAGTGGAGTGTTATGTGCAAAATATGTACCAGCAAATTAGACAACCCGAAAGTAGTGCAAACATTCCTGCTAAAAGAGAGTCAGGGATAAAGGAAGCAAACAGACAAACAACACACAAGTAAGCTTAATCTAGAATGAAAATTCTCCCCTCAAGGAAAGTCTTGGGACTTCTCGCATGACTGGATCTTTCCAGACACATAAAGAAATAATGCCAATTCTTCTCAAGTCTTTCCAAAAAAGTTAATACTGAGGAATCATTTCCAAGCTCATTCTTGAGTTCTGCCAGCTTTTCTCACTATCAAACCAGACAAGGACACTGTAGGAGATAAAATTACGGTTCAATATCCTAGTGAACACAGAAGCACAGATCCTCAAAGAAATGCTAGCAGACTAGCCCAATGGCACGCTGGAAGGAGCAGTCACCAGGACCGTGTGGGGCTGATCCTAGGAGGAGAGGATGGTGTGACAGATGCTAATCAATAAATGCCACACATACATTCATAGGGCAAAGGACAAAACACACACCATTTCAACCGATGCTGAAAGTCTATTTGACAAAATTCTACATTGCTTCACGGTAAATCTCCACCCGAAATTGTGTGCAGAAGGGATGGACCCACACAGTGACAGGTCACAGGAAGTCCCTCAGCTGAAGCCACACTGACCCACCAGGCTAAAGCGCTTTCTTCTGACATCGGAAACGAGGGTGTGCTCGGCCTCGCTGTTACTTATTACAGTACTAGAAGTCCCAGCTGGAGCAATTGTGCAAGAGAGAGAGATAGGAAGATCTGAAAGGAGGGAAGAAGTGAGCTGTGAGCTTGCTGACACCTGAGCTCATACACAGAGGGCATTAAGCCTCCGCCAAAAATGAACCTTCAGACAGAACTGAGGAGCGAGACAGGTCCCTGGACGTGGCTCCATCCTGCTGTTTGCGTCCCAGGCAGGGACCTGAGGATGAGGCCGGACATTAGAACCGCACGGACGGCAGGCCCGAGGTGGACCTCCTGGCTCTGCACCAGGTGTCAGCATCCCATGGTGGGCTTGTGCCTCCCCACCATGCAGAGCAGCCTTTTGGACACATTGCCCTCTCTTCTAGAAACATCTCCCCACCAGCCATTAACAGTCAGAAACCGCTCGTCGTCCTTGAGCAAACACTGAAACATGGAAACCAGCAACACTGTCGTCTAACGCGCGCTCAACGCAGCCCCTAATTATGTTGAATGTTTGCACAATTGTACACATTTGTGTTGCGTCTTCATGTGTACATTTGCGTCAGTGTTGCCTCCTGGACTGTAAAGTGGAAGGCGGAGAAGTATATTTTTAATGATGTTTGTACAAGACTCAGCACGAAATCTCAACTAGGGAAACAAGGTGAACGGAATCAACTGTGGGAGCTCGGGCACCGGCATTTTCCAAGTAAACTACCCAGTGTCTGTTAGACTCCTCTTGTCTCGCAGCACCGGAAGCTGGCGTTTATTTGGTCTTATTACATATACATGCTTGCTTCTTCAATAGTCCCTTGGAGGCACAGGGAAGGAGCCATGCATTATCTGCACCCCAGAGATGTGCTCAGCGTGCAGGGCTGCAAGTTCTTGTGAGTGGCGGGTGCTGTGACCCTCTGCACCAGGTCTCTGAACTCCAAGCTCACCGGCCAGCCACTCCAGAGTATCTCCCAGGTGCCCACAGTGGCAGCATGTGCCCCAACCTGCCTTAACCACGGCTTTTGCTGACATTCGCAGCCCCACCGTAAAGGGGGGGAAGACAAAGGTGTGAAGTGCGCGAGGCGCCCGGGCCACGTGATGCTGCGTCATCTTGTTCTTTTCCTGCGTTCGCATAAAAGAAAATTGTTGGCCGTTATGGTACCCTTAGCATTCTTACAACCCCTTAGCACACTGTATAAAAGTCTGTAATTACTGCAGTAAAGAAGGAGCACCTATTATCTGTGCTGTGTCTTGGTCTCTCCAGCAAATCTTTCCCTGAGGCCCTATAATTGCTCCAGCCAACCATTAACCCAAAGCAGGGAACTAATAGAGAGTATATTATTGTTTAAATAATGCATTTGCTTTGAATATACAATTATGCTGCGTGGACAGGGATCATGAGAAGAATATAATTTAGTGCTGGGCTTCGGCGAGTAAGTTGGGCTTTTTGCCAGTTCCTTTGACGCTCTTCCAGTCTCTATGGTAATGGATTCCTTAGACAGACCATCTTCAGGCTTGTCTGGACAGGGCCAGGATCAGTGACTGTGAACTTCAGTCATTCCTCTAGTGCCCATTCATGGCAAGCCTGAGCTCTCTCATTACACAATCACCTCAATCAGTGACTAAAAATTGGGTTGAATGATCGACCATTCAGCTACCATTGGCTCAGAAGAGAGAGTCTGGTCTTTGTCAAGCCACCTGGATTTGAGTTGCATTTAGTAGATGTACCAGAGAACGTGTCATGGGAAGCCATCATGGGATTATAAAATGATTACACTGGAGACCTTAATTTTGGTTATTTAGGGGTTAGTCATAAAACACCCGACATTTGCAGTGTACAGTATGGATGTGCTCAACCTCTGGTCTGCAGGACTCGTGTCATGCCTTAGCTGTGAATGTAGCCAGACAGACAGTGTCAAAAGGCTGGTCGGCCCTGATGGAGCCTGAAGCTGCTGCCAGTTCAGCATCAACAGAGGATGTCTCCAAGAGCAAGCAGCCTGCCTCCCTGCAGTGGGCAGCTGCCCCCACCCCGCCCCAAAAGATTAGACAATGTGTTTGCAGTCCATGTATGGAGAATTGGGCAAGAGACTCAGACTGCTGAGACACATGAGGACTTCTCCGTCGTGGCTTGGTGGGAGCAGAGCGGCCAGGGTGCTCTGGAGGAAACGGAATGTCAGAGCTGTCCGTCTTTGTCCCGGGACTGTGCCTGCTCACTTATGAGGACTCACTGTTCTCTATGATGAAAACGGACTGTCCAGCTACAGTCGGCCCAGAGCTCAGGGCATTGAAACTTTGCACGCGGCAACCACCTTGGCCCAGCTGCTCTGAGACCCTGTGCTGGACTCTTCCTCCTGGTCATGGCACCAGGGCTCCAGACAGACGTGCCTTCTCAGAACCTCCCGCTTCACCTGCTCCTCTGCCATCTAATCCTCTTCTCCACCAAGTCCTAGTCCCCCCATGCTGTGAGGATGACTGATTCTCTCAGCTCACCCGGATAATTTATATTGTCTTATTCCATTTCACTGTGCCACTCTGGGCCCAGCATCCTGTGCCTCCAAATATCCTAATTCACTTTGATTCAATTTCTGTTTTTCAGTTATTACTTTCTGATATATGACAACTTGAAATTTTATGGTCATTCCATGCCCAAGTAAAGACATTGCCCATGACTGAGCTTTCTTTCTCTGTCCAGGGAGCCTCGCTGAGAGAGTCAACAATGTGGCTCCACTGACAGGACACGGTCTGGTTCTGGGACCCGAATCCCTCTGGATGGATCTCAGATTCTGCTACGTGTACAGTGTGGGAGCAGCTGGTGGGCGCTGAAGCCAGTGGCTGACTGGCGGTCAGGCCTGTGGAGACTTTCTAGCGGTTAGATTCTTTTGTTTAAAATGGCATATTTTTAAAATTTTATGTGTATGAGTTTTGCCTGCATGTATGTATGTGCGCTATATGCCTGCCTGGTGCCCATGGAAGTCAGAAGGGAGTGTTGGATCCCCTTAAGCTGGAGTCATAGACAGTTGTGGATGCTGGGAACTGAACCCAGGTCCTCTGTAACAGCATCTCTCCAGCCCTTTTTCTTCTTTTAAAAGTTTCTGAGACATTTTGATTTATTTATTTTGTGGGGAGTGTAGAGGTCAGAGGACAACTTGTGAGAGTCGGTTCTCTCCTTCCACCATAGGTCCTGGGGATGGAGCTCAGAGCGTCAGCCTCGGCTGCCCAGTGCCTCCACCCTCTGAGCCACCTTTCTGGCTCCATTTGTCCTTTTAAAAATATGAATAAATAAAGGCATTTTTATCTAACATATTACTTAGATCCTATTAAACATTTTAGACATTTGCATAATCAATTTGCTCTAGTTTTTTTTAAAACTTTTCTAAATATAACATAAAATTTTAAGATACAATTCAATGATTTTTTTTTTTTTTTGGTCTTTTTGAAGCAGCGTCTCCCTGTAGCCCCAGCTGTCCTGGAACTCACTATATAGACCAGGCTGGCCTCGAACTCACAGAGATCCGCCTGCCTCTGCCTCCCAAGTGCTGGGACTACAGGCGTGCACCACCATGCCTGGCTAATTCCTAAACTTACGTAATCATCACAGTTCAACCAGAAAGTGACTGAGTGCTTTCTGTCTCCACAGATTTGCCTTTCTAGAAAGTTCATGAACTTTGTTCCTGTCACGGGTGTTTAGAATCTCAAGTTCTGGTGTTGTCTCTTTCTGTTTGTGTAAAGTCCAAAGCTGCATAGGTGAAAGGAATTTATAAGTGGACATATAAACTAGGGACATTCACATGTACGTGCATCTGTAAGTGTGTGTACATGGATGAGCAAGTATATGCGCCTATGTGTATGAGCATGTGTACATGCTCTTCACATACATGTGTGCACATGAGTATATATGCAGTGTGTGCATGTGCACAGGATCTGGTGATCCAGATAAGTGCCTGACTCCTGCACCGAAAGCCGTGTTTCAGAACTCGCTCTGCAGCTTGCTTTGGGACTGCGCTCCTCAGGAATGGGGTCAGTTTGGAATGCGCATCCTACAGGCTTGTCACTGGGACCCAGGACTCCCCGGGTGCTTTACTGTTGTGCGCAGTTACTGTGAAGTGTGAACGCAGACGCTTCCAGAGGACTGGTGATCTCAAATCTCTTCGCTGCGTCCTTAGTACCAACATCATTTGGTCACAAGGTCACATTTCCTATCTTGGGACACTGTCCTAGTGCTCTCCACCTTGGTGGCACCGTTTCACATCTCCCTGGCAGTGTGAGGGTATGTTTCCCGTCCTGACCTACAATCAACATTGCCAGCATACATGTATCACAGAATTCAAAAGTAAAACTTAATGAAAGTCCCCACAGAGAAAAAAGTATTTGTAAAATTTTAATGTTTTCATGCTAAAAATTCTCCATATGTTAGGTACTAGAGAAATGTGTCTCAGCGTAATAAAGGTCATTACAGCAAACTCACAGCTGAGATTATATTCAATTATGAAAGATTGGAAACATTTTCTCTAGACGAGGAACAAGCCAGGGTGGTGCTGTCTGGGGAGGTGATGGATCTTCTAGGCTCTGGAGCCCTGCCGGAGAGGGCATGTCACTGGGGAGGGTTTTGAGGGTTTATGTCTCACCCCACTTCCAGTTCACTCTCTGCCTCGTGTTTATGGTTCAAAAGGTGAGCTCTCAGCTTCCCGCTCTGGCTACCTGCTGCCAGGCCTCCAGTGATTTATCACAGCAATGGAAAAGTAACTGATACAAATAGATGAGCTGAAACAAACATAGATTCAATCGAGAAAGTTAAACAATATTTATACAGAAAAGTAAAAACGTGAAAATGAAGAAAACACAAATAAATGGAAAGATACATTAACTCTTGAATTGCAAGAATTAATATTATTAAAATGTCTATACTGTCAAAAGTGACCCAGAAATTCAAGGTGAATACTGTGAAAATCCCAGTGGCATTTCTCCCAGACGGAAGAAAACAATCCTGAACTTCAAGGATGTTATGAGTGGTCAAAGAAATCTCAAGCAAGAAGCACAAACCTGGTGGCATCATAAACCAGATCGGAAAGCACCTTCCAGAGCTGTGATGCTCCAGACAGTGCCATATGAAGGCACATCAGCCAAAGCAGGCATGTGGGAACCGCAAAATGCCACAGCGGCTTTGGAGGACGCGGTTAGGACACAACCCACAGCCCTCCTTCCATGGGCACATGGACACTGACTGCAACTGTGTTCACAAGCGCCAAAGCTTGGGAGCTACTGAGACGCCACACAGTAAATGAATGAATAAGCTGTGGTGGCTGTTAAAAGTCGCACTGCAAGTCCGCAGGAAGGAAGAGTTGCTGGGGTGTGAAAAGACAAGAAACTTGAGCAGGCATTGGAGTTTGAAGGAGGCCATTCGGAAAGGACTGAGTGTGCCATGACTCCACTCAGCACATTCTGAAAGGCAGAGACGAAACAGGAAGCTGAGGCGGTGTGGGCGGGTGTGTAAGGCAGGCCAGTTTCTCTGTGTGACACTGTCATGTTAGGCCTATCCACACTTGTAACACCCTAGTGAGCCCTGAGGTAAGCCTCAGATGACTGTGTCAAAGGAGCGTCAGCACCTGTAACTGACACCACTCTAAGGAGAAGCTGGCCGTGGAGGAGGCTGCGCCCAGGCAGGGGCTGGAGGCAGGTGGGAAATCCATACTTCGCACATAGCTTTGCTTGAATGAACTTAAAAGATGTTCTAAAAAGTAGTTTGTTATGTATATGTTATCCACTCCGTTAACTGACTCATGATCTTGAATTCTGCGTGCATCCCAGTGAAGATACCAGTTGATTGTGTTGGCACAACCTTTTAATGTTTTCCTGAGATTTGTAGGCTTCTAAAATCTCCTTCCGTAGCCAATCTCTAATTTTACTGTGGATGCAGAGTATATTTTGAATGATTTAACCTTTCAAAGTCCTTTAGATTTATCTATAGCTCAGCACACAATCAATTCTAAAGAATATGTTGTATCTCTGTGTTTGAAAAGTCTTTTTTTAAACAATTTTTATATTATTTATTTAATAACCACATAATTAGAAGAAGCATTTTATTAAAACAGCATTGACATATTCAATAACAATTTCCAGAGCTA